TCCCTTTTTTCCCTTGCTATCTTTCTTAACTTTCTCTGTATCTGCCTTTCTTCTTTAGTAAGGTCGTCATTCAGAAAACAGCCATACTTCTTTCCTAGCTCTTTCTTTCTCATCATTATCTCTCGTTTGTTTTCCCAATTTCTGCATCTCAGCACCTTCATCTTAAATTCTCCATGTCCAATTTTTTGTACTTCCTCGATGGCCATTTTCGAACTATTTATTTCTTCTATCAACTTCTCGGTTTTTTCTTTTCTTTCCTTTTCATTTCCTGTTTTCTCTTCTCTTACAATTATGTTTACTCTCCTCCTTCTTCTTTCTGCCATCTCCATATTTCTTTCTACCTCTTTCATTTTCCTTATTATCTCCCCTCCCTCACTCATTGACATGTTTACTTCTATCTTCTCCGCCTTCTCCTCTAAATTCTTAATTCTTCCTTCCAGAGTCTTTCTTTGATTTTCCCATATCTCCTCGCTTCTCCTCAATTCCTCCCTCAGTCCTTTAATTTCGTTTTTTATTTCCTCTTTATCTCTTTTTCTTTCTTTCTCTTGTTCCTCCTTATCTTTCTTTCTTTCTCCCTCTTGTTCCTCCATTTTTTTCAAAATTTCTTTAACTTTCTCCAGTAATTCTTCCGTCGCCATATTTTCTTTTCCCTGCTTTTCTTTTTTGATTTTGGGCGGCGGTGATCTGTTGACCCTTCTTTGTGCGTTAAATTCTTTTAGAATTTCTTCCTCCGCATTCGCTGCTTCCTCCACCTCTTCTTCCCTTTTCCTTTTCTCACTCTTCTGAAAGAATTCCTTAACCGATCCTGTACTGTCCACTCTTCTTAATTTGGCTAGCTCCTCCGCCTTCGTTGGTCTGCCTCTCGCTTTCTTCTCGCCTTCGCCTTCCCCCTTCTTTCCTTTATCTCCCTGTTGTACACTTTCTGATTCTATTTCCTTCTCTTTATCCATCCGCTGTTCTTGTTTTGCCTATCCCTCTTTCTTGTTTTGTATCCTATGCGGCTGCGTGCACGTCCTACTATTCCTTCTCTATCCGAGCTTCCCTTCTATGACTGAGCTAGTCTATGCCCAGTTTCGCGCCTTTTTCCTATGTACTGTTGCCCCTCTATATTACTTACCGTCTATGCTTCAACTGTCACTTCGTTCCAGCCACTTTCTTCACTTTTCACTTTTTAACCGATTTCGCCCCCACTTAACTCTTTCACCTCCGCCGTCTCACACCTCCATTCCTTGCTGTCCCGCTACTCTCGCTCTCTCCTACCCTTTCTGTATCGCACTTTTCTACCACTTTATCTCCGCTATGTTCACATCTGTCACCTTCTATGTTCCGGAACCGGAAGTCCTAATTTTTAATTAAAATTATTAATAAAAACAGTTTAGTATTTGTATGATAATTATCACATTATTTTTTATGTTTCTATTATTGATCTCTCTCCTGATAATAATAATTAATGTTTCCATACACATTTTTTGTTTTTTTCTTTTTTAAATTTTATCGTCTTTTTTGCAGTTTGTGGTGTTGAAATTTTTAACACATGAAGGAAAGAGGCTAACCTCTGATGATGATGTATTTTATGCTGTTGGTCTTACTCGATGGTTCACAACTGAATTAGATGAAAATATGGAAGTACAGATAAAATGGCCTCCCACATCTGTAGATGCCGGAAGTTTAGTAAGGAAGGAGAAACCGCCTGATCCAAATTAGGGAGAGGAAACCATTTTAATTAAGAGATTTTATGGTAAGTAGGTTTTTTATGGGAAAGACGAGAAAAAATGTCAACTTCTTAAAGCATAAATTGTAATGGGTTGTGTTCTAGTGATATTTACAATAATTTAAAGCAACTTTGCGTTTCATGCTAGTGTTGCGAGCGCGCAACGATTAGGTAATTCGATAGGTAGCGACAGAAGTCGAATATGATTTCCGCCAAAACTCCTGACGATTGCATCGGACGAGCGATCATCCGATGCAAGTCGACACCGGAACCCGGAGCGCGGACTCCGGAGCGACCGAAATCGCTGACGCGAAGGCCATCGCGAGGCGTCGGCAACGAGAATTCCGCGCTAACTCGGAAGTTCCGAGTTAGCAACAAGACTCGGTCGCAAGGCTATAAAAGACCGCCGAATTGGCATGCCGGGCCAGTCGGTCGAAGAACAGCTAGCTGCCGCGTCGAAACACCTACGATTTCCTGAAAACCATCCGCAAGACGGGAACTCAACAAGAAGAGACAACTCGTGTAGAACAAGCCCATTTATTTAATAAAGACATAAATTGGAAATCGGACGTGTTGATCCACTCCTTTCTCGCTCGCGAGCGGAACTCGATCCCCTTAGCCGATACCCGGCTAACAATTTGGTGGCAGCGGTGGGATAGTTTCAGCCATCTTGCGAGGAAGGACCAGCCCACATCGCCATCTCACGTCTGAAACAAACCAAGTTCAATTAATAAGGGAGGCAACGCATCCCGGAAAGGAAAAAGTCAGATAAGACGCGAGCTAAGAGACGGTAGCAGCCGCGAGTGCAGAAGTGACACCTGAGACGGCCACGACCTACCGCACGGCATCACCGGCCCGAGCGACGACGCAGGGACACAGCGAAGCAGCATAGCAGCGCAACAGGGACGCAGCGACGACAGGGACGCAGCCAAGCAGCGAAGCGGCCCGACGACCAGGCGATGCAGACAGGCAGCAACATGCGATTCGCGGCGATATTGTAAGTGCGAAAATTATTATATCCGCGAGCGCTAAGTAGATGTCGGACGACCCGAACCAACAGACGCCCGTCCGACAAACGTCGTTCGTCCATAGCGAGTCCGCGCACCGCGCTTCGCGTAATCTAGTTAACCCGGTGAGTGCGACGCGATCCGAAAGCGAAGGGTTAAACCGGCCCGCTGAAAGCGAAGGGGTAAACCGGCCCGCTGAAAGCGAAGGGTTAGACCGGCCCGCTGAGCAAGACGGATTAGATCAAGTTCGACAAAATTTAGATTCGCGTTTTGCCGAGGAAGAGACGCCCGTACTATCTCCGAACGTTGTCATAGAACGCGAGTTTCCGTTCGACGAAGTAGACGTAAGCGTAACAGGCGAACGCGAACACCGCGATAATAATACAGAGCGACCGACTCCGACTGACTCACTGACAGACGTCTCTGACGTCACGCCAAGCCACGTGTCACAACGAGGAGAATTTTCCCTCACTTCACACGACACCGACGTATTTGATCCTAACGAGGAGGACTATACGCCTAAAGCTCTCAAAATGAGTCAGGCGAGAAACGCGACCCCAAGCGGAGAGAACCGCGAGGAAAATCCGGACCCATCTAGAGTGTCCGAACAAGCCGTCACCGAAACGGCGCAAAATGGACCGCCCGCCAGGCGACCTCAGGCCCCAGAGCCGACGCGATCCGAGTTGAGAGCCCCGGACGCCGTAATTACTGATTTAATTAATCTAATGCGCGACATACAAGAACGCATGGACCGCATCGAGGCTACGGAATTCGACCGATCAGCCGAACTTCTTCGCGCTTTTCGCGAGTTACAGGGCCGCGTAGGCAGGATGGAATCCGCCACGCGCGAATCTTATAGTCGACAGGAGCGGCTATCACTTGATCCCGACACGCGAGACCGCCGCGTACGTAGTCAGGGCCCTTTAGATGTCACATATGGACGAACGCATAGCGACGTCCGGAATCAACCGGGTCTAGTTAACGGGTACCTCAGCCTTAAAGAGGCACGAGCAATGATACCTGAGATTAACGGCGAGTCGCGCGAACGTGTCCGTGAATTCGTAAACGCGAGCACGTATGCAATGAAGAATGTCCAGCCGACCGACGAGTCGATGCTACTCGAAGCTATTCTGTGCACGAAATTTAAAGGGAAGGCAATGACGGACTTCGATACACGCGACATACGCGATTTTGACCAATTGAAGCGCGAGCTCGAGTCAGAATATCTAGGGAAACGCTGCATGACGCATCTGCAGCTCGAATTTAATTCGCTAACGCAAAAGCCAGGCGAGAGCGCGCAAGACTTCGGTAGGCGCGTCGAGAAATTAGCCCGCGAGCTTTACGAAGCAATGGAAGAGGGCAAAGGTCATACGCAAGAACAGCAAAAGGCCATACTAGATAATATCAAAATTCAAGCGCTGCATAATTTTCAAATTGGATTACATGATGACATAAAATTGTTAGTGAGAGCGCAGCGATACCAGAGCCTGCAAGAAGCGATAACAGGCGCCAGCGCGGAGGAGAGAGTTAAAGGCCCCTCCCCGCGGAACGCACCGGCAACGGCAAAGAATAAATATCCCGCGATAAATGCGCGAACCGCAGGGAAAACGGTAGAATGCCACAAGTGCGGAAAAAACGGTCATTACGCGCGAGATTGCCGTACGAGCCGTCACGCAAACAGATATGCATTGCCGAAAGCCGAGAAGTCTAGCATTAACACGATAGAGTGTTCATATTGTAAAAAGGCAGGGCATAAGCGCGACGAATGCTGGTCATTAAACGGGCGACCAAAACCCGAGCGACCGCGCCGAACGAAAACGGAAGCAGTTAAGAAAACGCCCGTGAGTACCGTCAGAAAGACGAGGACGCAAGAATCTAGCGAAGAAACATCCTCTCGCAGTAGCAGCGAGGAGGATGAGAAGCCTAAAAGAAATAAGGCGCGCGCCGCCGAGACATATCGTGTTGCACAGATAAGCAAGAAGCACGAGGAAGGCCCGCTAGACTTAGTGACGCTGCCCGTACAGGAGGCAGAGAAAGGAGAAATGGACCTGTTATTAGATTCAGGCGCAACACTCACGTTAATAAAAGTGGGAAATTTGAAAGCGAAAGCGATGGTGAAGGAAGAACGGTTAGCGCTAGTCGGCGTAACCGG